AGGAGTCTTGGTGGCCGCCCTCACTTGTCTCCACCAGGGACTGGACCTTCCAGATTCAGGAGTCTTCAGACCTCAGATGGTCTCCATTTCACTGACTGTGTGGCTTCTAGCACCAGCTTTCTTCATGTGTGTTGAATTAGGTGAGTCACACTTTAGAGGGGGTGCACACCTATGCAATCATCATCAGGCTCAGTATTTCAGTCATAAATATGAATACGTTTCTGTTTGTTTAGGTTGATATTTTGATGTTTATACTTTCTGTTTTCTCGTCTTTTGCTGTGACTGACTCTTGACAGTTTGACGTCCAGTTTGTAGGAGCTGCTGTTCCTCTTCTGTGTCACAACTCGGTTTAAGATTTTACTGACGACCTTCTTAAATTTTCCCCAAGGGACAAATAAAGTTTTTGAAACGAATTAAATTGTGTCTCTGCAGTCAGAAATGGATTTAAAGTCAGGTCAGTGTTTCTCATTTCATTTTACCTAACGATATATTTTTATATTAAAATTTATTCTTGACAAGAATTTATTTGCCTTTTTCTGTTAATGTAGTTCTTTGGAGGCTTCAGCCTGTTGCAATGAGCTATGGCTGACAACAGCTGTCTGTGCTTTCAGGGTTTCAGTTTATTTCAGTAGGACTAGTTTTCAGTAGAAAACAGGAAGGTAAAATTTGCAAATGAAAGCGTGAATGAAGCAGGTGTCCCATTTGTAGTTTCTATCATTTACTGAATGCCTTCAAACTGATGTGGCTGTGGACACACTCTTCTGCTGATCATGAATAGAAATTAGGTTACCAGAACACATTGACTGATACAGTTCTGTCAGGACAGATGTTGTAGAGATTGGGATATCACACTGTGCATCTGTTTTTAAAACAAACAGCTGAAGTCAAACTGCAGGGCAGGCTCGTCTCACCTGAAGCCAAACTTGTCCATGGACACAGACAGGTGTCTCGGCTGGCTGAAGCACCTGTAGGTGTTGCGGTCGTCCATGGGGATGAGGTCGACGTCGCTGAACACGAAGCAGTTGTAGTCGTACTCCTTCAGAGCCTCTGTGTAGCCAACATTCAGCAGCTTTGCTCGGTTGAAGATCTCGTCTCCGTCCTGCAGAGACAGATGGACGGACGCAGGGTCATCCCGAGCTCAGTGAACAGAGATGACACTTTACTGGTACTGGTGGTTTACCTGCTTATATCTAACTGGTCATGTTCATCTGATCACATCCAACTTGTCGTGTTTAACTGGTGACTAAAGTGTGTAAACCATCAGCACGCTGTAGAGCTAATGAGCTATCCACGAATCTTCAGCCCGGTGCATGATGACAGAGATCCAACACATCAACCTTATCACATGATCAGCACTCAGCCAATCACAGTGACCCTCTCAGCTGGTACCGTTCAGGTTTGTGCTGAATACCCAAGAAATTCAACAAACCAACACGAAATGTTAGAAACTCAAACTCTTGATCCTCTTGAAGTGTTTAGCTGTTGGTTTGGTGGTTCGTCTGCTAGTTAAGGGTTAGCTAATTAATAATAAATAATAAGCCAATTAATAATTCAGTAATTTCCCAGGCCTGGGATAAATAAAGTATTTTTCTATTCTATTCTATTCTATACATTCAGAGATCTGTCCCGAGTCCCTGAGAAGTACGCTGCAGAGGAATCTGGTCGGTAATCAGGGAGTCAGCCCTTCTCCGCTCATATGACCAGTACTTGGATGCAGTAAACAACCCCCTGGTTACTAGACAACCAGCACCTGCTCTCAGGTGTGTTTATTACCTGCAGGGTGTTTCATGTTGCTCTGCCAGCTGCAGCTTCTTCGGCCTCATGGGACACATTAGTGCATGTGGATCAGAAACACTCGTGTACGAGGGAGGTTTGTGCCCACCGCCACGGCTCTCTGTGCACACATCACGTGCACACATCACGTGCACATGCCTGGTTTTCATGTGTATGAGTCTTGGGAACATAAAACTATTCAGAAAATTTCTGAAAAATTTCCGAAAAACATGAATTGTGTGAAAAATATGTATTCAATGTGCTAAAAATATCTGGACAATGTCCTGAAAATCAGAATAATGTCACCTGCTTGTGTTTCTGTCCTCAGATCTGTGGCTGTAAAAGTAGCAGATCACAGATGTGGACTGGGATGATAAATTCAGCGGTGCCCGGCCTGTCTGAACACGAGCGGTACACTGATGACATTATAAATACTAAAAAAACTACAGAAATAAAGCTACAGGTGTGCTGGTTTGTTAACAGCCCGAGGCTCACAAACACACAGGAGCCAAGTGAATGCACAATAAATCATGGCGGTTCATACTGATGGCCGAGGACAAGCCAAGGCCTGCCGCTAACATCTGCATTTTATCATCAGACATGACAGCCGCTCTGCTGAGGGTTCACATGAGCTTCATACAGGACGTTCTGTTCAGCTCCTCCTGCCGTCCGGAGGCTTCCTGTCTCACACAAATGTACGACACTGTCTGCCAGAACAGGACTTTGTAGGTCCAGACACACAGTTGGTCGCATTACTGAAACATCAGGACGTCCTGCTGCATTCGTTTTCTTCCCATTCCGACCCACAATCCTTTGCAGCAGAAGACACGTCATGGCATCTGAGCAAGTATAAACAAGCTCGATCTGCACAGTTGGATAGTTTCACGCTGCGGTCTGTGAGTGCTGCATTATTTGTCAGTTGAACAGCAGAGTGATCGCTCTGAGGAACGGACAGAAACAAACACTTCACAAAGACTCAGGTCCCACGCTAGAAACTCAATGCAGCACAAGTGAATCCAGCTGTGTGCTGTTGACACACAAGTCAGAAAAGCTGTGAAAACTAACCACCTGTGATTTCCAATCAGCCCAACTGCAAAAACAGGGTTTTAAAATCAGTTTGTAAGCTGTGGGTTGTATCCATCTGCATGTCTGCATCATGGCTCCACGTGGAAAATACTGCCAGAGCAACTAAAAATATGACTGTGAGACTTCAGAAAGAATACAGGAAGACTGATGGCAAGTAAAGATCAGAGAAACACAGCTGCACTTGTGATCAGGAGGTCTAGAAGGAGCCACAGAAGCACTCATCAGAAATGTAGTGGCCATCCTCCTAACAATGAACTGCTGAAGGACACTTGTGGCCGGTAGCACCACAGTGGATGCACAGTCCTGACAGCCGAGCACGGAGGTGGCAGCATCATGATATGGGGCTGCATGAGTGCAAAAAGTGTTGCGGAGATGATATCTGTAGATCACCATGAACATCTGAGGATAAACCAAAATACTGGCTGACCAGATGGCTCCCAGTCTGCAGAAGCTTGAAGAAGAGGAACCATCCGGAGCACAAAGTCCCACCAGAGCTTCTACCAAAGAATAACCTGCACAAGTTCCTGTCCTGACTTGAATTCAAAAAGCAGACCTTTGGGGTATTTTAAGGAGATAGGTAGAGCAACAACCTGTGAAGAATGTCAGAACATCTGTACAGAAACGTGTGGACTCCAGATTCATTAATGTGTCATCAAAGATAAAGGTGAAGACTGACTGACTGACTTCTGCTGCCTATTGTGGGGTCTGCGTTTTTAAGACAGTCAATCTAAATTCGTAGTTTGTAATGTGACATCAGAGCAAATACTCTTCTGTTCTGCAAAAGTAATCTGATTACTGTGAGGGGATACAGTGAGCTCACAGGTTTGTGCTCACAGCTGCTGGATACTGTATAATGATGCAGGGCTTGACAAAAACAAGGAGTACATGATCGTATAGCTGGTGTCTTTGAGCAACTTCACTTTTTGAACAGTCAACCTGTGATGTGGCTGCTTGGAGACAAAGAGGTTGGTAAAGCCTGACAGGAAGTCTGCAGCTGAAGCTGCTTCACCTGAACATGTGTCTGTCAGCTCTGCTTTGTGTTCACATGGCAGGAAAACAGAAAACAGTAGCAGCAGGTAGAAAAACAGAGAAGAAAGAAGCCCGTATTACCAGTGCGACCCCGCAGCCAGCACCGGCTGCTATTGGCCGAGACCAAGCAGGGGGGCGGGCCTCGGTGTCTCCGGCGACCGCAGCCATTGGTCAGAAATGCCTGACATGCAAAGGGAGGGGTGAGGAGGGGGAGGAGGTAAGAGACACAGAGTGAGGAGGAACTAAAATAAAGGAGGAGGAGGAGGAGGAGGAAGGACAAGAGAGAGAAGAACAACTGTGAGTCACTGACAAGCAAACAAGCAAACAGCAGCAGCAGCAGATGACTGTTCTATCAGTGAATCCATGCAGCTCATTATTGCGTCTCAACACGTGACCACAGCTGCACGTGTAGCTGAGCTCCGCTGCAGACAGCACATGGTCTTATCAGCGTTTACACAGCTCAAGGTCTTCACTGGGTAGTAAGTAGAGCAGCATTTTATTAGTGAGTGTCTGTAGATACCAAGTCCCACCATCAATGTCCAAAGAATGTCATGAACAGTAACCAATAAAATGCACGGAAAGGCCCTGAAATATAACGAAACTGTCCCAAAAATGTCCTTGAATCATCTTTAAAATATTAATGAAATTCCAGAAAAATGCACTCAAAATGATATGAAAATTTCTGATAATATATTTAAAATGTCCTCAAAGATATTAATAAAATTACATAAAAATATGTTCCAAAAATAATAACAAATAAAACAATAAAATCAATAAAAATATTAATAAACATCTGAAGATTATTCCTAAAATATGAATAAAATGTCTAACATATAAAATATCTTAGAAATCACTTGAAAATAACGATAAAATAACTGAAAAATGTCCTCAAACATTAACAAACATGTCTGAAAAATATTGATGAATGTTCCAACACATGAATAAAATGTCCCTGATCCAGGCCCAGGTGTTCAGTGATTCCATATTTAGTACATGTGCTGATAATCTGACGGTCAGGGTAAAACATGAATATCTGCCAACTAAATGCTACCAAACTATTCCTTCACCAACATGTGTGTCAAGGTGTAGTAACAGGTTTAAAGTGTTGAAGTTCAACCCTGAATAAACCTGCTCCAGTCAGGGTCCCAATAGATGATGGTCGATCATCAGCCTTCAGTAACTCATGAGGTCAGATCAGGGTGTGTTCATGACTCTGAGCTGATCGTCAGCGTTTATATTTCACCACAAACACTCCACTGTTGAACAAGGCCACTCCCACTTTACATTTACATCCACAGCAGCTTTTATTTCACATCCTCATACAACACTCAGAGCTATGTCTACGTCTACGATGCCTGTACAGACTCCACAGGCCCAGATGCTGGTGACCCGGTTCTTCTGGCAGCTGCCAGTCGCTGCAACCTCCATGACAATCACAGCTGGTGAACTTCAGTAGCTCCTCAGGAGCCGTGGGGTCTAGTGGTGGACCTGGCTCATACCCATGTACCCCTAATGTCCATCCATAGTCACTGGGTTCAGAGACCTGCTCTGGAGAAGGATCCAGTCCTGGTCTGCAGGTAGACTCAGAGGGAATGCTGAGCAGCTGCACCCTCTGATAGAGGGAGAGGCTCTGGTCTGATCAGACCTGCTCCTTCAGAACGTGTTGGACCAAACTTCACCCAGTGTAGTATCTGGTCCATGATCAATGTTCTGGAGAACCACAGGAGCAGCTTGGATCACTAGTCACTGTCTCCATTATGAGTTTAAATACTTTTACTATGACGACAATAATGATGAATAATGATGATGGTAATTATTATTATTATTATTATTGTTATTATTATTCAGAGAGACGTTCTTGGATCTTTCGGATGTCATAAGAGCTGTTTGATGTGGTTAAGAAGAATCTCTGACAGACAGAAGGGCTACCTGCTCCTCCGTCAGCCTTCACAGGTGTGATACGCTTCCTGCTGTTGCTGGCCGTGGGAACACACCTGTGTTCGACAGGTAATAATATAATACTGCTGTTACTTCAGCTCATAATTATATATAATAATAATAATTACAAACACGTTGGTGAAGAAACTGTTTGGTAACCAGTTAGTTGGCAGGTTTGTGAACTCACCTTTCCTACTTGGATCACACACACATTAGTACATTGAAGTTAGTCAAATCAACCCAGGGAGCCCTGTGGGGGTCCAGCTAGCAACAGGCACCATGACAAAGACTTGTGTGGAGGCTAAAGACCTCCAGCTGGAGCTCCTGTACCACAGTGGCATCATGTGTCACAGAGCTGACTGAGGAACACACAACAGCAGCATCAGCACCAAACACACTGTGATCAGTACATGCTATCAGTTAGCTGCTAACTGACTGACCATGCTGCTACTGTAGAACATCATTCTACATGAGCACATGTAGCATCCTGCCTTTGTGTCACACCGATCCGGATCCTGAAATGCAGTCCAACATCCCTGCTGCTGATCCCTGGTATTGTCAGACTCTTTAATCATGCTTCTTCCTATTCAGCCTGTTGTTGACATGACTGCCCTGTGAATGTAGTGGAGCTCAGTCAGAGGAGGATCTGATGCCTCAAGGAGACTCCAGTCGATTGTCTTCACTCATTTGACTGTAAAACAAAGTTCAGCTGCTGTGTGGACACGTCAGGTAACCGATTTGACTTTAAACACCACAGGCTGAACTGCACACTTCTCATTTTATTCTCAAATTCCAGTTCTGAGGGACGAACACTAAACTTTAGAGCCACTGAATGCTTGATGCTTTCTTCTTCAACAGATTTGATTCTGAATCGTTTTTCCTGTTTGTCGAAGGATCTCAGCTCATCGAGGTCTCTGCACGTGTTCTTCAATCATTGGTGTGCTTTACTTCATTTACCTGGTAGCTCCCAGAACCTCTCTAACAACTAATCTGCTGGTGGTCTTCCAGACGAATCAGCTGTTTAGGTTCACAAACATCAGGAAGTGTTGAAAAATGTCCATCAGTGTTTCCTCAGAAGTCTTTCTTTGTCCACAGACATTCAGCTTTCTGGCACAAAGGAGGAACGACATCTCCCAAAACATGTTCACATGTAGGAAGCTGCAACAACACAACTTGACTCACACCAGTGAACACACTATGAGGATGAGTTCAGTCTGAGGTGGTTGTGTTCGCCGCCTTGTTCTGACAGTGTTTGGTCCTTCTGACGGAGGAGTTCAAAGACGTACAGTGGACAGGATAAGCTGCAAATATTGATCGATTATTTGACTCATTAGCAAATGAATCTGCAACAACTAATAAAAACAATCACAATTCTGTAACTGCAGCTTCTTAAATGTGACCATTTTTCGTCTTCTTTCTTCCTTTATGACAGCAAACTGAACACCATCGGGCAGAACACTGACCCACTCATGACCATCGTACATTCAGTACATCCAGTTTAGCTTCACTACTGTTCTGCAGATGTCGGGTCACCTGGGTTCAGGTGTAATCTGATCCTGGAGCTGTCTGCAGGTACAACAGCTGACCAGCTCATTTACATGCAGTTAAAACAAGCCTATCACATTGTGTGTGTGTGTGTGTGTGTGTGTGTGTGTGTGCACTCAAATCACTGCAGCTCAGGTTGAACACTTTGAATAAAGCCCTGGGGGGCCCAACAGGATGAGACAACCTCCCTCTGCTAAGGCGTGTTTAAGAAAAAGCCTTTCTCTGAGAAAACACATGAAACCTGCTCCCAGAACGCAGACTGTCCAGAAAGAGGCTGAGAAAAAATACAGTCTGTCAAAAAGGATTGTGAAATTTCATCCAAAGCACTTTATTGTACGTCTTGTTTTAAACGTTTGCTGTAAAAAGAGAAAAGCGTCCTCCATCCTCCTCCATGACGGACTCGGCTGTGAACGCCTGATGCTGTGTAGAACACATGTTCTGCCTCGGTACAGATGGTGGCTTTGCTTTGGTTGTTTTCACAAACATTGACATGAATTTCTCTTTTACAGCTTTATCATCTTTTAAAATATGGTGAAGGCATTCCTGACCCAGTCCTCTACCTGCTCTTACTGTATTTTATCGTTAAGCCTTTTGTTGTGATGTTTTGTTTGTGTATTGATAGTTTTTTATGGACGTATTGCCTTTGTTGTATTTGCTGTTCTGTGTTGCCTCTTGGCCACGTCGTTACTGTAAATGAGAATTTGTTCTCAATTAACCCACCTGGTTAATTAAAGTAAACAAACATTTGTGATGGACAATAATACACTTGTTGTTTACTTTCAGGATGTCTATTGTTCTCTTTATTTTTTACAAAAAAATGGGAAAGAGACAAAAGTAAACGGCACATTTTCTGGGTAATAATATTATTGTGGACTCTGTATTCACTGTTTTTGGCAACTAAGATTGGTGAATAACTCTTGTCTTTTAATAAAAACATAAAAAACAGAAGATGAGTGTTGAGGTGAACTGCAGGCTGTGAGATGGTTAAATATCTGTAGATCAGGGGTCTCCAATCCTGGTCCTGGAGGGCCACAGTCCTGCATGTTCTAGATGTTTCCCTCTTCCATCACACCTGATCCAAATGATCAGCTATAACCATCCTGATCATGTGAATCAGGTGTGTTGGAAGATGGAAACATCTAGAACATGCAGGACTGTGGCCCTCCAGGACCAGGACTGGAGACCCCTGATCTACAGTATGCGGCGCCTCCATTTTGTCCAGGGTTGGGAACAGCTGTTGGACATGTTGAATTCAGGATAAAGAAAAGTCTTCGTAGTAATTGTGTCATCCTGCACAGATGGTCAATATAACTACCTTAGCGGCACTCGGAGCGCTTTACAGTGTTTTCTCATTCATCCATTCACACACCAACGGCCACAGAGCTGCCATGCACGGTGCTCCAGCGGTAGAGGGGCGGGGGATCGAACCACCGACTCTGTGGTTAGAGAACAACCGCTCTACCAGACACGTCTATCTATCCGTGGTTGTGCTGTTTCCACTGAGGTACAGATGTGGATGCCAGCAGCTGCTTCACTCAGGTGATGTAGTGAACACTCCCGCTGCCTGATCTCCATGTTTTCATGATCTCAGAGCTGCTTTCATACCTCCAGTTATGATAAGTTAATCTTTTCCTGTCACCTGAAACAAAGCAGTGTGAAGGTGTGACTTTGCCTTATCGCTGACCTGCAGCAACACACCTGCTGTTGTTCTGAAGGAAACACATGTACGACAAGCCCTCCTGCCACCGAACAGGTTAGGGTTATCAGAGCGACTGGAGGAGGCGTAGCGACGCCTCCAACAGTCGAGTTCTGTTACTCCAGATATCTACTTTATGCTCTGACCAGTCAAGCCACAGTTAGAGAGATCTCTGTAAGTCCATTTGCACCATGTGACGTTATTATTGGCCACAATAATTCACAATTGTTAGAAAAAGACAAAAAATTCTTCAAGGTGATTTGGACCTTTGTGCAAAGTAACTGACAGTCTGTCCAGCATCACTGAGCAGCTGTAAAAACTAAACATAAAGAAATGACCTGTCTAAAATGACAAAAGCTGTCCAAACTCCCTAAAAGTTGTTCAGATAACTACAACGCTGCCCTATAAAAGGACTCAACACTCACCTAAACATTAAAATCATCTGAAGCTGGTCATAACCAACTCTGACCGGTTCAGATTAACGAACACACGAACAGCTTGAACGGTTTCAGAACAGCTTGAAACACATTCAGAATTACTCACAAAATGACTCATTGTCCATCCATCCATCATCATCTCTCCACCTTCATCCTCATTAGGGTCATGGGGGGCGGAGCCTATCCCAGCTGACTCAGGGTGAAGGCAGGTTCACCTGGACAGGTAACCAGTCTATCACAGGGCTACACTTAGAGACAGACAACCAAGCACACTCACATTCACACCTACGGACAATTTACAATCACCAATTAACCTCAGCATGTTTCTGGACTGTGGGAGGAAGCCGGAGAACCCGGAGAGAACCCACGCTGCACGGGGAGAACATGGAGACTCCACGCAGGAAGATCCCGGGTGTCCTCACCGGGACGCCAACCACCGACCTTCTAGCTGTGAGGCGACAGTGCTAACCACTGATCCACCGTGCAGCCCACTCATTGTCTAAAATGACTTAAAACTTGGTCAAAATAACGACACAGAAATTGTCCTAAAATGAGTTAAATGTCTGCAGAGGACTGCAGCATGTAAGAGATCAGAGCAGGGAACACGTTCTCATGTCACCATGTCTTCATCCGATCACCTCCCCGCCCTCAGAGCTGACGTGACGTCACAGCGTACCTGGTTGATGACGTAGACCCCGTAGTCCAGCTGCTGCCTCTGCAGGATGGGGTGCAGGTAGTACAGCCAGAACTTGAGGTGCTCGTCTCGCTTGCGGAATGGGATGATGATGGCGACTTTCTGCAGCGCCTCGCAGTCCGCGGGCCTGAAGCGTCCGCCCGGCTGCACCCGGAGGTTGTCCTTCTTTATCTGCTGCAGGCTCACAGGTATGTTGAACTCGACCCGCAGAGGACCCACTGAGGACGGAGAACACCGGTGAGCCTCAAACATCTGATGATTCGTGACACAGAAACACCTGAACTGACTGCAGGTGGTTAATCACAAACACCTGCACATCATGGACACTAAGTCTGCAGACACTAAAACCGCATCGTGGTGACGGATGGACAGACAGACAAACATCAGGATTCTACAGCTGAGCCCGGATAAATCAATTCTGTTGTGTTTTATTAAAACTTTTGGTCTTGGGGCACCCTGGTGGCTAAACAGGTTGAGCAGGCGACCCATGTATAGGGGGCAGAGGCCCCCGAACCAGCGGCTGTTGACCAAGTCCGACCCCTGGCTGACTTGCTGCGTGTCCGTCCTACGTTCCTGTCTCTCTTCACAGAAACAAAGGCCAAATAAACATTTTTTTTAAAAAAAGCTTTGGTTCTGGAAAGACGACAGCTGAGTCTCCTGTCATTTACAGACTTGATCAGTCGTCAGCTGTTGATTAGGGATCAACCGATTCGGCTTTTTGGTTTTTATGGAGTAGATACCTGTGCCGATTATGGGTAATGGACAAAGGCCGATAACACACATTAAACGCAATGTTTTACCAGGATGTGGTAGCAGACTAGCAGGATTCTTTATAATAAGAGTGACTGTAAGTGAATATGTGAAATAGGAGTGATTCCATCTGTCCTCTGTGTGAGATGCACTGGTCAGTTTGTATCCTGCAGCTTCATCTGGTGTTCTTCTCTATTTCACCTTTCATCACTTTTATTGTCCGCTAAGGGCCAGATCTTAAAGAAATATTAATTATGATTTCCAGACTCTGTTTAATCCTGGCTGCCTTCTAACGTAGCCGCTAGCGTAGCCTTAGCTACTGTGAGAGGAGCTAACGTTCTTGTGTTTTCTTGTTCGGTCTTTGCAGCCTCTGACTGAGCTTCATTTCTGGGACCACGGAGTCAATCAGTCTGTAAAAATACAAAAGAAATGCCACATATCAGCCACGATAATCAGCCTAGCTCTAATTCTGACATGTTCTTTTGTAAATTTTGATCTAGAACAAGTTGAATAAAGCGATGCAGCAGCAGCAGCTTCTGGGGTCCAGAGGGTCAAACAGCAGCTCTGGTTCGTTCTGCTCTTTTATATCTTGAATCATCTTTCGTTGCAGCCGAACAGACGTATGTGAGTCTCATTAACACACAGATTGTTTTGCAAACAGAGCAGCAGGATCTGAGTCTTCGCTTTGACCGTAGAAGCACAGAACATGTCGGAGTCCACAGTCCAAAGCCGTGTGATGACGTGTGAATCTGAAACAGCAGCAGAGGAGCAGCTGCAGCCACTCTACCAGCCCTCCTCACTCCTCTGAATCCAACGGCCTCCCACAGCTGCCTTCAGTTCCTTTTTTACAGCCATGAAGTGAAACTAACATGTGGAGGAAAGCTGCAGTCACTTCCTACGGGGAGTACAGGATGGCTTTCATACCGTCTGAGTGATTCACTCCACAGCAGCCTCTGAACACATCTGCTCAGTGCTACAGCTTACATTCACTAAAAGTTCATTTTCAGCGTGATTGTGTTATAAAGTAAAAGCTGTTCTAAAGACTCAGACCACCCACAGTCAGGCTTCCAGTGCCATATATCACCACAGCTGGACACGTTTTGGTCAGCTGTGTTCACATTGGTGACATTTTGGTCAGTTAACAATCAGATTCTGGACATTTTCTGGGGGGTAACGTACATGGTTTTGAGATGTCAGTACGTTAATGTTCAGGTGAGTTAACGTCTAGTCGTCCTGCTCAGACTGTACATTAGATGACATTAGACTCTCACATAAACTGATTTTTAGTGCAGCTCGTTTACAGATTCTCAGTTTCCCTGTCGGACTCAGATCATGCACTGGACTGGATCAGAACCCATTGAGACCACATGTTCCCCAACAATCACTTCACTTCACGGCTGCTGCTCTTCAGCTAAAATAACAATAATAATAACAACAACAACAATAATAATAATAATAGCTCAGAGACACTTTACACACACACACAAGAAAAAAAAGCCAAAAACAAAACACAGGACGATGAAGTGTGGAGGCGGGAACATTAACACCGATTCTGTCATGCCATCTCACAAACTCACCAAACCGGAGTTAAACAACGGCTGAGTTTGGATCTGACGCTCCTGTTTTGATAAGCTTCAAACGTCCAGTGGTTCGGGTTGCAAACAGGCTGGAGCTGACTGGGTTTGTTTGGTGAAGTTCACAGTGAATAAAGGTTGACTGTGAAATCAGACATACATCAGTGTGTGTTGACCCCCAGTGTCCTCCGAATAAACACCATCAGTTCCTGAAACCAGTTTCACACACATTAGGTCATTTGTGTCTCTTTGAGTTAGTTTAGTGTCTATCTGAATTAGTTTAGTGTCTGAGTTAGTTTAGTGTCTATCT